GAGATTGGATTTATACCCGGCCCTTCACTACCCAAAGGTGTTTCAGAGCGGCTGACAAACTCCTTCCCCTTCCCGTCCCCACAACATACACCCTGTGAGGTAAAAGAAGAGATTGGATTTATACCCCGTCCTTCACTACCCAAAGGTGTCTCAGAGCGGCTGACAAACTCCTTTTCCCTTCCCCTCCCCACAACAGACACCCTGTGAGGTAGGCGGGGAGAGAGCTCTGACAGAAACTGCTCTTTTTCAAGGACAGCTCAGAACTACGGCTTGCCCAAGGTCATCCAGCCAGGTGCAAGTGGAGGAGTGGGGGAATGAAACCCCGATTCTCCTAGATTAGAGTCCGCGCACTTAACCACGACACCAAACTGGCTTTAATCCCAGGCTGGGCTGGTTCCGAGGAACTGGGGGCTGGCACACGGAGAGGTGGGGTTGGGCACCCTTCTGCCTCTCACGCCGGGCTTCTGACGCCTGGTATACGGCGGCGAGAGAGAATCTGGTATCCTGGCGCAGAGCTTACCGGCAGGAAGGGCATGACTGCTGCAGCGCCCCACACAGATGTTTCCCGTGACCACACCGATGGGTGGTAAGGACTCCCCTTCCGTACGGGTTGCACACCCAAGCACTGGGGGCTCCCCACACCGCAGCGTAAAGCGGGGGGGGGAGACTCTCCCATCTAAAAAAAAACACGAAGTTGGGGACACCAAAACGAGCAAGTCAACACACCGTCCCATCAGAGGACCGTCGGGGTTTGGAGCACCGCGTATGATTCCGAGGACCGTGTCCCCTGCAACAAGGATGCCCTGGAGTGGGAAGAAATACAGGAAGAGGGCCCTAAAAATGACCAAAGGGGCAAACGGCACCCACGCTGTAAGGAGGCGGCTGTGGCTCAGTGGGAGAGGGTCTGCTTGGCATGCGGAAGGTTCCAGGTTCGATCCCCGGCATCTCCAGTTGAAAGGACCAGGCAGGAGGGGATGGGAAAGACCTCTGACTGAGACCCTGGAGAACCATGAATTGGTGCTGTAGCTCAGTGGCAGAGCCTCTGCTTGGCATGCAGGAGGTCCCAGGTTCAATCCCCGGCATCTCCAGTTAAAAGGACCAGGCAGGAGGGGATGGGAAAGCCCTCTGACTGAGACCCTGGAGAACCATGAATTGGTGCTGTAGCTCAGTGGCAGAGCCTCTGCTTGGCATGCAGGAGGTCCCAGGTTCAATCCCCGGCATCTCCAGTTAAAAGGACCAGGCAGGAGGGGATGGGAAAGCCCTCTGACTGAGACCCTGGAGAACCATGAATTGGTGCTGTAGCTCAGTGGCAGAGCCTCTGCTTGGCATGCAGGAGGTCCCAGGTTCAATCCCCGGCATCTCCAGTTAAAAGGACCAGGCAGGAGGGGATGGGAAAGCCCTCTGACTGAGACCCTGGAGAACCATGAATTGGTGCTGTAGCTCAGTGGCAGAGCCTCTGCTTGGCATGCAGGAGGTCCCAGGTTCAATCCCCGGCATCTCCAGTTAAAAGGACCAGGCAGGAGGGGATGGGAAAGCCCTCTGACTGAGACCCTGGAGAACCATGAATTGGTGCTGTAGCTCAGTGGCAGAGCCTCTGCTTGGCATGCAGGAGGTCCCAGGTTCAATCCCCGGCATCTCCAGTTAAAAGGACCAGGCAGGAGGGGATGGGAAAGCCCTCTGACTGAGACCCTGGAGAACCATGAATTGGTGCTGTAGCTCAGTGGCAGAGCCTCTGCTTGGCATGCAGGAGGTCCCAGGTTCAATCCCCGGCATCTCCAGTTAAAAGGACCAGGCAAGAGGGGAAGGGGAAGACCTCCGCCTGAGACTCCGGAAAGCCATGAAGCGGGGCTGTAGCTCAGTGGCAGAGCCTCTGTCTGAAATGTAGAAAGTCCCAAGTTCAGTCCCTGGCATCTCCAGTTATCTGGCCGTAGGTGACGGGAGAGACCTCCGCCTGAGACCCTGGAGAGCCGCTGCCAGTCTGAGTAGACCATACTGCCCTTGATGGACCGAGGGTCTGATTCAGTATAAGGCAACTTCATGAGAAACTAAGGGGATTGGGGCTTTCCAGTTTAAGGGCGTGGGGAGAATTAAGGCGCTATAGAAGCCTGGAGAATTACAAATCCCATGGAGCGAGAACACAGAACCCTTTTCTTATACTGAAAACAAGGCAGATGTTTTCGCAGCCGGGTCAGGGCTCTGCAGCGTCGGACAGAACTTAGCGCCATCTGGCAACCACGAGAGAGAAAACCTTGCTGTTCTCAAGAAGCGAGCCAGCCGGTTCTTCCTCCCAGAACCGAGAGGCGCGTCGAGGCCTCGAGCCGGGCGAGAGGAAACGGGAGGAGGAAGAAGAAGAAGAAGAAGAAGCGGGGGCCAGCGGAGTTTCGTTTTTCCTTTTTAACTTAAACACCCACATGAATTTATTAAATCCAAAGTCCGTATTAGGATGTAATGATGAGAAACGATACTTCTGTGGTCAGGGGGGTGGGGTGGGGGGGTTTGTCTTGTTTTTCTGTTCTGCTCACGGGCTCCCCTTATGGGACGGAGACACACGGCTCGGAGAAGAGCTCCTTAAATGACAAGTGTCCTAAATACCTGCACAATGGAATGGAGATCACAATTATTACTGGCGGAGTTTTTGCTTTTAAACACAGAGATTTTTAAGGAAGGGGCGGGCGGGGCGGGGGTTTCCTCTCCCGGGGAATACAAGCGTGTCAACATGGCACTCTCTTTCTCTCTCTCTTCTCTTCTCCCCCTCCCCCCCCCATCTTGGCGATCCCCCAACCCTTTCCCACCCCCACAGGTTTACTGGAATATAAAATAAAAAGCTTTGG